TTGCCGGCAGACAGGTATGGCAGATTGCCACGTGTGGATGTGGCAGTGACGGTGGCCCCTGGTGTTCTTCCAGTCTCGGGCCGGCCACAGCCCTTCGGCGTTTCAAAATTTATTTTGAAACTCCTTTAACCTATTCAATCCCGAAGTGCTCCAGGCATCCCGCGGGAAAGACCAAGAATAATGGCAGAGATGGTGATGCGGGGACTCACAGGAACATTCCCGAAGCCTAGGATGCAGGCCTTGGTACCCAAGCCACTGCAAGACCCTGACTTTAGCTAAGCTTATGCTTTCAAATGGCACCCTCCATATGCAATTGAAGGAGGGCTTGTTCCCTCGATGAGAAGAAACAGACTTTAATCACAAAGCCTTTGAAATGTGCACACTTCCCGGCTCGCTCGGGTCTGTACTCCGAGCTGCGGTGGCTGCCCACGTGCACTGCTGCAGGTCACCCGAACCAGTGATTCCTCCTGCCCAGGGCCTGCTGAGTTCTTAGTGCTTGTCACCAGAGAAACCTTTGCTCCTCAAGACGCATTTGGCGTTCGAGGATCGAATCGCAGGAGTGAGGGAAAGCTGGGAGGTCACCAGGCTGAACCCCCACTTGCTCCCCTTTCTGTTTGGCCCCGGGAACCCCGAGGCGTCTCATCAGTCGCCAGGCATCGGGACAGACTCACGCGATGCGAGTCGCTCTTCATCCTCTCACGTCGGTCTTTGGCGTTTGCGTAGCGTCATAATAGTCTCCTTGTCCGAAGTGCTAGATTCACCACCAGCACCCTGTGCCCCCGAGACGTAACTGACGCCCTCACAAGGCCCTGGCCGACGGGCTTCGCTGTGTCTGACTCGAGTCCTCTCCTTACCCTCAGATGGCATGCTCACCGAGAGGGTGGTGCGTTTGGGTCTGTTTATGCCATGTGCACCCATCATCGAAGCGATGTGACTTCTCGGAATGTTACGTGAGCCGACGCCACGTAACTGAGGCAGGCGAGACTTATCTGTGAGTGAGATGCTTTAGAAGGGTCGCGGGCCGCAAATTATTGAGTGTGCAAAACGCAGGGGCAAATCGGCATCCAGAAAGATGCTTGAGTCAGATTCCATCACAAGGCCATTCCGTGTCGAAGGAAAATGGGCGTAGCTCGTGGAAGCCACCTTGGAACTCCAGTGGGGGTCCCCACGTGCACCGAGAACATCTGGGCCTGCCCCCGAAAGACTGGCATAGCCCAAAACCAGGTACATGAAAGATCGCAATTGGGATGGTTCAAATTAGAATAACACGTTTCAGGCTGTGGTCTGTCTCCCTTGTGGCTTGTTTTTCAGCTGGTTGACCAGAAGTGAGTTTTCACTCCTGTTACATCTAAACGGCTCAGAAAACTCCCGCCCACTCTCAATAACCATTATAAGAGTAACTGTTAACTTCTCTATTGACATATAACATTGCCTGCCCAGTTAGTAACTGTTAATTTTTAATTACATTCAACTTAAAGTGATAGGAAAACTGGGAAACAGAATTCAGCGAGCTGCGTAAGTTTGACTTGGCAGTAATATCAAGATCTCTGTCTGAGTTAGTAATTGGAGGACTGACTTTGTGAGGTGGGGGGCCTGGGGGTCCAGCTGAAATGTTTCCGTTAAGCCTTCCAGAGTCACTTCTATTTAGAGCAGAAGTTTGGGGGGTGGGGGTGGGAACTGTTGCTGTTGTTACCACTCTGACAGCAGAGATTTTAAAATACTTTTCCTGAAAGAGAGATCGAAAACTCGGCTGCTTCTCTAGCACTATCCTCCTGGTTAGGGGGCTGCTGTGGGTCGGGGAGGTGTGGCTGCGGAGGGTCTCCCCTCTGTTCAGCCTTAGCAGACACTGCCAGGTCAATCTGAGTGCTCGCAATGGCTCATCCCGTCTACCTGCCGAATCTCTGCTAAGTTCTGGCAAATCTCTGTGGTGCCAGATGGACACACGGTTCTTCGAGAAGCAAGCCAGTGGCTGGTGTTTGGGATTCCTGCAGGTGTCGGTCGATCCAGTTCTAAATAGTAACTAGTCAAGGACAGTTCCTGAAAAAGATGAATTCTTGTCTTTCGTGGGCTTGTTAAATCACTTTTAATATCACTTTTAATGCAAGTTACTTCTGGACTTTGAGGCACATCTATTTAAATTACTTCAGTCACACTGGAGAGTGTTCGAATACGTTCTTTTTTCAATCACCCACAAGACGTTTAAGTGGGTTGATGCTCCTCAGCTGCTGTGGACCTGCTCTAGAAACCTCCGCTCACTTCTCCGCGGCCTTCGAAGGCTGGGTGAGCTGGAGCTCCCACCGCGACGACAGCTGGACTGGGACGATGTCTGCATCTCTCACTTCTTTTCCCAATGGCCCCAGTGAGTGCGGGATGACCGTGTGGCAGTTACTGCGCTTCACTGTTGAAGCAGAATTCTCTCCCGCAACGTGAATGCGGTGAGACATCCCACTGACCAGACTTCTGGGACGAGTCGCTGAGGGGTTCCTGCTTCCCCGCCTGCCGCCCGGAGCCCTTGGCGTTTTGCATGTGACTTCTGCTAGACCTTAACTGGTGACGGTTCCAGCAAAACAGGCTTTCTCAGCGTTGGCCTTTTGGACCAGGCGACTCCGTTGTGTCGCAGAGGCTGTCCTGTGCATTATGGGATGTTAGCTGCATCCCTGTTCTCTACCTACTAGATGACAATAGCCCCTCCCTCATTGTGACAGCTGAAATGTCTCCCTCCCGACCTTGCCAGATGTCCCCTAGGAGGCAAAAGTGGACCCTGTTGAGAACTTCTGCCATAAGGAATGCGATAGCGTGATACCCAGTGCTCATGTGTGCCCCCTAGTTTTTCTGCACGACAAGGTCACCAGGTGACATGACTGCTTTCAGAGCCTCTAGGGCCCTGTCTGAGATGTGTGCCTTGATTAGAGACGTGCCATGGGTCCAAGATGGTGTAGACTCAAGCTTTTTGCTATTTTTAAAGCCTCTTCTCGTCTCGACATTCTTAATTAGAAGGTGGTAACTGTGGAGATCTCTTTAGAAGGTGTATTTGGAGTGACAGTGGGGGTCCCGTCACACATTTTTAGGTATGCAACTACGCACTCAGCATTGTTTTTCATAATTTGGCAAATCAACTAAAATCATTTTTCAGACTTAATTTTTAAAAAATGAACTAAATCATAACATCTCTTATTGCTCTCATAGTCTGTTCGTGAGAATTACATTTCCAGAAAGAAGAGAGTAACCTCCGAAGGTCGTGATCGTGTCTTAAAATCCTGAATAACTGCCAGGAAACTAACGTGACTTTTGCCCATTTAAAGTTTCTGCTGTATTCTTATCGATATGCAGAATCTAAACTAGCTTCAAACTAAAAAAACACAAAGACCAGCTGTAGGGGTGCAGACGGGAGACTGCGCCTCAGCCCTTGTGAGTCCCCAGGAAATAAAGTGCACATTTGCTGGGAGCAGCTGGGTCCCCCCGCGCCGTGCCCAGCATATCCAGAGCGGCTTCCCACCTTTGATCTATACCACCCGAAGGGCTCATATTTCACGACTTTTCCAGAATATGCAGTACAGTGCTCACGGCTGTTGGATTCCGAGAGAGCAAGCCATCAAACATACACCAACTTTTGAAACCGCTAAGATGCATTTGCAAGGTAAATGAGTTCAAGCTCTCCCTTGTCCCGTGATCACACGCTGGGGATCGAGTATTTAGAAAGGAGCATAGAATTACGGTCAGGTAACATCCTCTACTGTCTGTCTGATACAATCATCCCAGCATGGCCCCCAATGATGCTGGCATTTGTGGGTAAACATCATTCGTCACTCATAATAAAAAAGCGGGAAGAGGAGAATGTTAACATACCTATAGATAATACATGCACTGTTCCTGCATGTGTCACAATTAGCTGTGTCTTGCCCAGTCCGATATGAAAGCCTACAAGATAAGAACAGGAGAGCATTACAAGTGGTGGCTGGCGGTCGCTGGCCTTTCTAGAGCAGACGCCTCGAACCGGTTGCTTCCCCAACGCCAGTGCTCGTCACGGTAATGGAAACTGATGGATGCGTGTTTCCCGTTTTGTTGCTGTCTCTGTGTTTACACAACCATTGCAACAGCTACCGCTCGAGATGATATTGAAATTAAATTGAGAATGTGAACGTAAGCTACTGGACGAAGTAAATAATCTGATTTTGTTATAAGCAGAGGGAATTTGGGATGTTTCAGTGAAGCGTTCTATTTGTGGTGTTTTAAAAACAAAACAAAACAAAAAAAACTTGGAGGGAAAACCAACCCGAGATGCTGAGGCGATGGCTTGTTTTTGCCTCACAAGCTCTTGGCCTCCAGGAGCAGGGGTCAGCAAACTAAAGCCCTCGGGCCAAATCTCACCTTTGGCCCAACTTTGTCCAGCAAGCTGAGAATGGATTTGACGTTATAAAACGGTTAAAATAAATCGAAATAATAGTATTTGGAGCACATGAAATATAATGAAATTCACATTTCGGTGTTCATATATAAAATTTTAAATTGGATGATAAAAATTGTGAAAATATTGATATCAATACCGATACAGTATCCTTGATTTTGCCTCTTGGTTTGTAAATCCTGGAATATTTACTCTGGCTTTTCGGAGGAAAAAATTTGCTGACCCCTGTGGTAGACTGTCACACGGCTGTCGTCACGCCTGCTGATGTGCTGTCCCTAGCCGCATTCTCTGGTGAGCTCTGCAGCCCTGTGAGACCGCAGATTTTTGGCGGGGGGTGGGGATCGGGCTGGAGAATGCAGATCTCTCCTTAAAACCATCAAGTCTTTTCTGGAGCATATCATGGAAGGTTGTATAAACTTAAAGGTCTGATGATAAGAGCAGGCCTTAAATATCTCTCAGCACAGTCACCCCAGGAAACTAGTTTAGGGGTGCCTTCACAGTTTCTTCTAGCCACTTTACCTGCCCGTTCCTCTCTGATATTTTTAATGCGCGGGTATGTCTTTTCTGAATATTAGTGTGTACCCAGAGACAAACATGATAACCAGAATCTGTTAAATCTGTGGCAGAAGAAAAGCTTTCATCTGAATTGGCTTATACACACTTTGGGGGTAAATTTACATTTATAGAGTCACTTAACATAGTAATGGTGTGAACAAATGGTTTTTTGTCAACATGGATCATCAATATTTTATCACCTTCACTATGCAAACTTCTCTTGTATGCATCATGGGTTTTGAGTTGAAAATGACTTGTTTTCCTCATTATATTTTGTGTTACATAAACATTTGACAAAGGATTTTCCACTCCAAGCCATGTTGTCTCGGTGAGCTTTCGTAAACTGGGACGCGACCTTTGAATTCTGCACATTCTATTTATTAATCGAGTGACCATATTCTGCCCCAGGGTGTTGCCCGCCATCGCCTGTGACACAGTCTAGTTGAGCCAGAACTGGAATCATAATGTGTCTGCGCTTGTGTTGACCTTTGTCCACCATCATTCCCCGCATGGGGCGCCTCGTGGGACTGACACCTGGCCTTTCCCCTGCCTTTGCCTTCGTCAGGCAAGGGACTCTGAAGGTCCCAGACACAGACTCTGCCTCCGCAGCCCCTTCTGCCGTCACCGACAGGCCTCAGGGCGCACCCCCCCGAGCTGCCCGCCTGACTCCAGATTTGTCGAGCTGGGACCAGGTTCCTGTGTATCGTGGCACCGACCTCCTCCCTTCCCCCACACCTTTCCCTGTCCAGCTTATCCTACCAGCGCTTGGCTTTGACCTCATTTCTGAGCACGGCCATTTCCCACAGTGAAATGAGCACGGCACTGGAGCTGGTGTCCCAGCGTCAACACGTCCGACGTGGCACGTGCTCTCAGACTGTTTCGCCGGGTTGCAGGCGAGGGGCTGTGCCACTGTTACATGGCACTGGCCTGTTAGTGTACTCACCACCAGTCAAGGCAGGGACATAGAATAGTGGTCAGCCTGCTGGTCACACTCTAAAACTTAGGCTTTTCAAAGAGAACAGGCAAAGCTGGGGAGGGGGGCACTTCTTACCCTCCTCTGGTGGCACAGGGAGCTTCGTGTCCGAGTCGTTGGGACACAGCTCCATCCAGCGCCCGTGCTTGCCCGGTGTCCTAGGCCCCCCACTGTCCCAGCTACATTACAGCCTTGAGCCCTCACATTGATGGCGCCACCCTCATCCTACAGAGAACACAGTCACACCGCAGGTCTGGCATGTCGTGATTTTTAGACCCCAGGCTTCTGATGCTCCCTGATGTGCTCCTGTGCCTCAGAACCTGTGTTCTGTACTGTGTGTAATTGCCAGCTTGGGACAGTCAATGAATCCAGCCGTGACAGACAAAGGCTTCAGGCCCCTGGAATGCAGAAGAGGACTCTCTTCCAGGATCTTGGGGTTCTTCAGTTAGAAAGTGCTTTTTAAGGCCTTTGTGAAAAGACTCTATTCTTATTACCTTGTAAAAAGCACACATTCCACCCCCCACCCCCATTATAGTCAGTAAGCAAATAGTTATTAAGTGCCTACCAGGGTCAGGCATTATCCTGGCTACTGAGGAGACATTTTTGAACAACACAAAGTCCTTGTCCTCATAGAGCTTATGGCAGAGTGGAAGAGGCAGACAGGCAACAGGGAAACACATGAGTGAATAACCAGATAGATGGATGGATCGTTTGTGATACCACCATGTGTTTTGGGAAGTGTCGTGCTGGCGTGCCTGAGGTTAGCACACGGAAGACACACCATTTGAAATAAGACCTGACTGTTGATAAACAAGCAGTCATCTGGAGATCGGGAGGTGAGTGCCTCAGGCAGAAGGACCATCATCACATGCGAACGTCCTGCAGTGTGGACAGTGACGCCATGTTTGCAAGAGAGAAAAGCAGGCGGGTGTGGCTGGGATAAACGGAGCAAATGGGAGTAGGTGGGGTGGACATCACGGAAGCTAGGAAGCTCTTTTGGACATTACTTAAAATTTCATGGGGAACCGCGGTAGAGTTTTTCTCATAGGTGGTTGAAAGCATGATGTGGAAAACACTTCCTCTTAACGCTGGCCCCCACCCTCCTGCTCTGTACGGTCATTCAGTTTCCTTCCTCTTGCTGCTTTTAGTGACCACCCAGCCTACCCTACTGGATCTGAGATGCGGTGTAGTTTTGCCAATGCGCGCTGATAAGAAGCAAATGAGTCATTACGCCTGCTTCATATGGAGATGTAACCGTGGTCACTCTCTTATTAGCTAATTTAAATGAGAAATCGGTGACTCACAGTTCCAGCGCGTCTGAGAAGTATGTCTAGGATTTCATTGCCATGAGCTTTTCTTAGAGAAACTCTTCAGTGTGTTTCAAGTTTTAATTAGGACTTTTCTTCCGTGTAAGGGATTCAAGTGTTCGGAGTCCACAGAGGTAGTTTATAGAAATAGAGGTCACTGAGAGATTAATTCGTGGGTAAATTTTAAAGTGTTGCCCTTGCGTCATGTGGTTAAGTCACAGGCTGCCTCCACAGCTCATGTCAATCAAGGTATGCCTGCTAAAATTTTATGAAGCATGAGGGTGTTTCTAAGTGCTGAAACTATGTAATACGTTGTATACATATTGCTTTGGTAGTCCATCTAATTGTCTTTGGAGCTTCCAAGCTGGAGGGTTTGGCTTCGCTGATAATTTTATAGTCACATTAATAATTGTCTTGCAGCATCTGAATGAATGTGTTCTCCAAATATAGACGAAGCAGATACTTTCCGTTGACAGGGAACACAAAGTGCTGTTTTAGAATTTCCCTTTTTTTTTTTCCTTCTCACTTGGAAACAAGTCATAAAACCAGGCCTTGAAATGATTATCTTTCTAGATCACCATTTTCACAGACAGGAGCAAAAACTGTGAGCTCTGGAGCAGATATTTCTCCAGTGACAGGAGGGCTAGAGATCTCTGTGATTAGAAGTTTGGAGAAGACCAAGCTTGGGTTATTGATGTAAAAGCTGCAGTGGAAGAACACGCTGATCAAAACTTATAAATCTTCTGTCTTGCACGTTAATTGCTGCATTGCTAAGTCTCTGTTCCCTTTTGTTTTGAGGAACGCATTACCTAATATAGGTGTATAATCCTGTGCCTGTCACAATGCCTGCTACACACTGGGAGTTTGGTTAATATTAATCTGATCGAATAATAAAATCTTTGTTTTTTTCTGCTGAACTTCAGTAACAGACAAATCTAATGAAAAAAAATTCCAACTGAGTGCAAAAAGCAAATGAAAAGTATAAATTTTGAACAGCTCTGGTCCTCACATTTTCCCCAGTAGGAACCCCTTTGGACCCCAGTGATAAGTGTGCTCACTGCACACAGGGATTTTTAACGCATTGATCTTCGTGACGCTCATTGCAGTTAATTGCCTTGTGTCGGTATTTTCTGGTTTCAACAAGGTCTGTAACTCGAAAAGGATAACGTTCAGCACCAAGGACAGAGCCGGGGCTCCTAGGCGCTGGCTTTTCAGAGCTGTTCCTTCACTGCTGCCCTGACCCTCTTGTCCGCCATCCTTCCTGGAGACCACAGTTCCCACCCAAGGGCCAGTGCTGAGACCCGGAACCTCCCCTGCTGCTCGATGCCCTTTGGGCACTCCTTGGTCCGGCTGCGCTTTACCGACGGGTAAGGGACCCGTGAGTCATGAGGTCAGTGGAGATGTGAGGAGCCCGGGCTTCGCGAAGGTGCACGGAGGAGCAGCCGTTGTTCCAGGTTCGCTGAAGCAGGAATCTGAGACGAGCTAACCGTGCAGCGTGGTTTTGGTGGAGTCCAGCTTTGCGGTCATTTCCGCTTCCCCTTTGCAGCAAAGCGGGGTTCTCCACGCGGCCTTGCTGCACTTCAGAGAGAGCGGAGTGAGCGACATTACGGACGGCAGCGTGGAACTCTAGTAAAGCCCCCTCCTCCCCACTCCTCCCCGCCCCCCGCTTTGAAAGAAACGTCGGGGTCCTTTCCGTTAGGGCCCGGGAGTCTGAAGATTAACTGCGCACGCAGGTCACCAGCGTCTCTGGCTACCTTAGGCTTCTGCAGTAACCGCCTCCAGTTCTTCAGCTGTCATTATCAAAATTTCCTGAATATGAAAATACACATTTGCATATTTATTAAAAAAAACACAAGTTTTGCGCGTCGCCCGCTAGAGAGGCAACCAGTTATAGAATTTCAGAAGCAACGAGACAGCCACGAGGAAGCGGGGCATGGCAGAGCTGGCGGAGCAGTTCGTATCACAAAGCCACGGGGGTGGTGGAGGAGGGACACCTGCCACCTTCTGCCTGAGCCGTGCCGCGGCCGTGTCCTGGAACGCAGGGACCGAAGAGCAGGCGACAGGAGTGACAGACAGCGTCCGCCTTTTCATGAACGCGTCGCAGGGAGATCTAAGATAGCGAGGCTCTAGGTGGTAGGAGAGGGTGCCGAGAAATGCCACAGAAAGGTCGCCGAAGGCTTTCTTCCTGGCCACTCGCACATCCAAGCTGCGTGCTCAGTGTCTCTGCGACCTTGAAGAAAGGACCTGAGAGACGGGACTAACAACAGCTCTGGATCCAAAAAAAAGATTGATTTGAAAAGGTCAGGAAAGGAAAAAAATACATATCTGTCTCTTATTGTTCCTGTTATCAGAAGCAGAGTCCAACAAAGTTATAAGCAGCTCAGGGAAGAATGCTTTGGCAGGAGGAAATTAATTCTATTTAATAGTCAGTACGAGTATCGGCTTATTAGCTTGAATTTAATGCACTGTTTCTGATGCCACAGCCCAGCAACTCGTGTTCTCCACAAGACCTTAAATTCCCGATTGAAAATCCCCTCCCCGCGTTGCGGGGGTGTTCGGTTTCCGATTTCGGGAAAGCACCCTTTTCTGGACGAGCACCGGGGTGTTTGCATGTGGACCCCCCATGGTCCCGCCCCCCGCCACCCCACTTTGCTTCACAGTGCAGGGCGCAAAGCTCACGGGTCCCTGTGGCTGATTTGCTGGTCTTTCAAATGGCCTGGTGGTTCCCAGCAGGCGCAGAGTTTCTAGCCCATAAGCCGGTGACATTTGGGAGAACACCGAAATCGCGGTGTGCTCCTTCCGTTGTGGTCTTGAAGACACTAGTTACAGAGCGGGTGCGCGTTGCCACTTTGAATTAACTCAGAGGTGTGTGCTGGGCCCCCGGCCAGAGACGGTGCTTGATGCAGGGGAAGCGCACGCTCTCCGCTCTCCGGTGATTTTATGCCCTCGTTTAATTTATCCCCTTAATTTCCATCTCTCTTGTCTGTTCGGCGTTCTCACCGGGTGCCAGAAACCGTCCTTCCCTCCTGCAGTCTAGCCCAGCTTTGAGCTCCAGCTGTCCTTTCTTGGTAACTGACCCATCCTTTACGTCAGCATCTTAAAGGGCCTTTTCACTCAAGAGTCTCCAAGTGACATGAATTAGAGGCATAAAGTGATACCACTAGTATTGTTGGGAGACGTTAGATTTCAAAAGCCGTCCAAAGTCAGCTGTTTTCAGTGACCCCCTTGTGTGTGTCAAGGCCACCCCCTGGCAGTAGCTTCGGCTTGTTCCTGAGTCCGTGGTCTCACTAGGAACTTGCCAGCTCAGGTCCGGAAAGTGCGTCAGCTGTTCAGTAGCTCATGTGAATTCAGATCTACCCGTCTACCGCGGACCCTCAACCGTTTATCTGTTTTATGCACTTGCACTATGATAGGACAGGATTTGGGGAACATCGAAGTTGTTTGTTTAAAGAACATGACAGTGATTTTCCTCACTAACTCCAAGGTCGTTGACTGGGCAGTAAAAGGAAGCGCCGGCTTTCACTGGCTGGCGACAGTGTGACTGGCTCTCTCTTCCCAGAAGCCGACAGGAGCTGTCTTTTAGCCAGTGGCTGACTCGCGATCTTAGGCTGGTGAATCCCGTGTTCATTCGTGCCCTGGGGTCCCTGGGCAGACAGAACAATTCATTTGTTTTAACTGAAGCTGTGTTTTGAGGAACACAAAGTATCAGCAGCCCCCAGTGTCTGCGGCACCCCTAACTTCCCCCGCCTTAGGGATGTCTAAACGGGTTGTTTTGAAGCGTCTCAGTATGGTGCAGGGACAGCCCCGCGAGCCGCCCCGCGGGGCCCTCTGGCCAGCTCTCCGTAGCTTCCTCGGCCAGCACACTCGTCATTCGGCATTGTCGTGGCGTGCTTCGTGTTTTTCTTTGTTTGCCCGGCCGATGTCTGGTGTGCCGGTCACAGGAGAGGTGGCGGTAGCGGTTTGTGGATGCATGGGATGATGAATCAAAGAGCAAATGGAAAATAAAATTAATTGGAAAGGTAACTTCGTGTCAGTAGATCTACGAGGGCTGGTTTGACCTCCGTTCCAGTGGAATTTCACAGCTTCCTTGACATAAAACTTTAAAAAGACTCCCTTCCACGCTGTCTGCTCAGCACCTTGAATGTAACGGAGCAACGCCTGCATTCGAATCACTGAATTCTTTTTTTGTGTTTAGGGAATTTTAACCAGTGAGCATTTATTATACGGCCCTGGTTTCTCTCTTGTCTTCATCTTCTGCCTGTGGACGTCAGGTCAGGCAGTAGTAAGGCCACTCCAATTACTGGTGGTTTCCTCCACTTACCGAGGACTTCTTTTCGGGGAGAGGGCTCTCCCTGAGACCGAAGTCCATCACATGCCTCCTCGTTTCCGCCCCGAATGTGAATGTGTGTGTTCCAGACGTCCCTCGCATGAAATGGGCGTCCTGGGTGACTCCAATAAGGGACACTCTATTTTTAGAGTCCCATGGCTGAAAAAAAATTGAGGGTTACCTTGGGAACCCAAACGAGGGCTGGCCTGGGAACCCAACACCATGTCTCATCTGGGCTTACTGGAAGATGTCCAAACAAATTACTTCGGAATGATGTTTTAGAGCACAGTCCTTTCGCAGGTTAAGGCGGGTCATTCTTCTTATTTGTCCTACCCAGAGGGTGAAATTCTCAAAATAGTACGTGCCAGTCTCCCAGAGCCAAGAAGTGAGATGTTGGCCCTTGAGAGACGAGCCTGACCAGCAAGTCCCGGTGACCTTACTGAACACACGAGGGTCGTCTTCAGCAATCCTGTGCATTTCTACTTAGCGCTCTGATTACAGACCTCAGAGCACTGTGCTGCACATCACCTGGACCCGCTCAGTGGCTCTCGCTGGGCTTCGTGTCCACAGTCGGCTCTGTGTGCGGCTCTCGCTGGGGGCAGTTAGTTGTTGGGTGACTCCAGCGTAGACTTTGCCCGCAAGACACTGACGACTTAGAAAACATACGTTTCCAAGAGGAAAGGCTTGTTTTGTATTTTAGGGGGGTGGAGCTGTGCGGCGTGGAAAAGCAGCTCTGTCTCGGTGGGGCTGTGTGTGCCCGAACCAGCGTCCTCACGCCCGGCCCAGGTGTCCTGTCCCCTCCCGGGCAGCTCACACGTCCTCTGGCAAATCCGCAGTGCCCTGCTCGTGGCTCTTACAGGCCGTTCCAAGTAGGTATTGATGAAGCGATTAGGTGTCCTACTCTCGTGTGACCGAGTGCGTCTCGGTGGGTGGCCGTGAACGCGTCTTGATCCATCGCCCCGATCCCAGCGCCGAGTCCGTGCTCGCCCCAAGCGGGGCTTGCTGCCTGCGTCACGCGCCTGCTCCCCTCATGGCTCGGAGGAACTCGGCGCCCTGGCTCCCTTTCCTGCTTAACTTCACGACACGCATCACCCTGGAACACGCCATTAACTTTAGTTATTATTTTGCTTTATGTCTGCGTCGCTCACTAAAATGTCAGCACGCTGAGGACAGAGATTTTTCTCCGTTCCCCGATGAATATTCAGGGCCCACATCAGGGCCTGAAGTGTGTAACGGTTACTCGAGAAAAATTTTTTTTTACATAACAAATGAGCAAATGAATGAATGAAGAATGAGTGAATGAATGAAGAATCTGTGTGATATCCTGCCGGGGTATCTGCGCGCCCTGTGGAAAGCAGGACAGTCAGTTTTGCCATGATGCCAGCCAGATCAGCCAGGACCCTCTGTCTGAAGGTATTGCCATGATCCCATCAGTTCCCCAGATGGGTGGGGGACGTCACTCCCTTCTGCTTCCCACACCCCGTTATGAAAATAAGTGGCCTCCTCCGCTCCTCACCCGGCCCCCTTCCTCCTCTCTTTATCCCAGGAGCAAACCTGAGCTTCATTGAGAAACACCCTGTTAATAATGAACTTGGTGGCGTCCTTTAGACAGTGTTGACAAATGAACTCGTACTGGCCTGGCAGCTGTCCTCATGTAGTGACACTATAATTCTGGGGCGGCTCTGGCCCTGAGAGAAGCTTTTAGTGCTCGTTTTCATTACAGAGACTTAAAGGGAAACAGCAGTGGTGCGTAGTGAGGGAGCAGAGCCCCAGAGTGAAGATTCACCCTGCGGCCTCCAGGCCCTGGAGAGCATGCCGCAGTCAGCTGGCCTCCCCGGCTTCCTCCCTCCGGCGTCGCTTGAGGTCTGTGCCTCTCCCTGCGGCCCTGCCCCCTTTCCCTGCCTGCTTCCCTTGACACAGAGCCATGCACGGTGAAGAAAACAGAATGTTATTATCGCACAGACATTATTCTTACTGTCGGAAATACGTGCGGTTTTGGACAGAGACAGACGCAGAGACGAACCCTAGTTTTAGGGCAGGCCGTTAGTGTTCTCTAATCATATTTCCGTAGCATAAAATAATAATGTATAAACACTGGGTAAGATACTGTTTGTGGACTGCCCGGTTATAGTCACCAACAGGGTGAAGCTTATAATTTTTTTTATGCGTTCATGAAATCAGGGAGATCCTGAGTGGCGAAATGATGACAGTGACCAGCTGCTCACCCCAGAGGCCACCGGGAGTGGCCACTGTCAATCAGACAACTTTCTCTGGCCGAGCCGAGGCTGAGTCGATGGACTCATTTTTTCCTAGAGGAGAGATAAAGCTTAAGCTGTAATTTATTGAAAATTAATGAAAATAAATTTTGGTAGCACTGGCTACCAAACGAGAGTGAAGACGGGAACACGAGTTTTCTCTCTGAAAGCGAACCGTCCTTCCGCGTGCCGCGTTTCTCCAGCTCTGGTTCTCACACCTGCGGTCTAACTCACAGAGCTTTTAATTTGAAAGTATTAATGTGCCTTCGCCACTGGTTCCCATGGTAAATATCCACAGAGGCTTTTATCTTTGATTTTGCATTGCTTTTGATGTTCCTTTTTAGAGCAGTTTAGTTAACAAATTTAAGTCAGAACTTAACTCTTCGTGAAGCTTTTGTGCTTTGTTTCAAAAGCCTGACTTTTAAACAAATGTTTGAGAGCTCTCACAGCTGACCGTAAACAAACACCTTTAAGTTTTGGTGTCATCGCTTATAAAATTTCGTGTGTCCAGTTACGAGACTTTTATCTGGGGTGATAGCCTATTGCTGTAACCAAGGAAATCTCGATAGAAAAAACTTTACTCCATTGGAAGTCAAAACATGGCCATTTTTAGATCATCTTTACCTAGGAACTCAGTTCTCGCGAATGCCCTTTCGGATACGGCCTTATCTGAAATACACGCATGCTTGTGTTTACATTGCAGGGGAAACTTTCAACTTGTTGTTGCATTTGAAGAAGTTAGAGTCAGATGGGCACATGGTGGCCACTGGATGAGCCCCTCGTGCTGCAGACGGGGCGGGCAGGCCCTCGTGGGCACTAGGGTCCCTGAACCTCAAGACCTACGGCCTTGATTTTTCTGAAACTACCTCACAGAGAGGACATTCCTCCTGCTGGTTATGAATCCTTAAAATCGTGCTCTATTTCTGGAATCTCTCCGAGTGGTGTTCTTTGCTGTCTCGACCACCGGAAGTTTGCTCTCTCCAGAACGTAAATTCTTAGGGACCTTCCCAGGTCTGGGTGCAGGAGCCTCTCAGCCCCTTCCAGAAGGAGGAAGGACAGAGGTTTGCAATTGCAACAAAAGTGCCTGCCTTTTAATTCTCTGCAGAAGCACCAGCTTTCCCATTTCCAGAGAAGGGAGAGAATGGATGCTCGCCTGACAGGTCTAGATGTGAATTCTGTCTCTGCCATGTCTCACCAGCCTTTCGATTTGGGTGGATGTTACTTAGCACTTCCAAGCTCTAATTTCCCCGTGGAGATAATTCCCGTGGCAGTGTTATTTTGAGGATGAAATTAAGACAAAGCAAAATGGCTGGCATATCGGAGGTGCTCAAAATCGATGGTTTTGTAGGCGTTCTGCCCAGAGACTCATGTCACTGGAACTGTCCCTCAGATCCAGCAGGGGCTGTAACACAATTTTTGTATAGCTTAGCAGAAATTGCATGGGATTTAAAAAAGTATTTGAAAACTAGAACTTGCATTTTATCCTTTTTTAAAAAATAAATCCCAATTCTGGGACACGAATCCATAAATTCCATAAACGTTCATGTCATGCCTGGAATTGCTCATTTTATCTGCAAATGGGTGTCTGAATTGCCAAGTGGCTCAGTGGCGAGGCTTTTATTCACCTACCAACTTAAAAGGCTGGGGACGTATTTGAAATCTATTTTGACATTCTGCACAGGACGATTATTTAAATTACATTTTCAAGTATGTGTGATACCTACATGAAGCCCAAAGCAAGAATTTGGAATGTGCTTTATATTCTTAGAAACATATTTGCTTCACTTTTCATATTAAAGATGGAAAGACTTATTTTTCAAGAACTTAAAAACAGCGTTTACAAAGTGGTATAAGTATAAGCTGTAGAGAAGACTTGCCGTGGCTCTCTGTGCATTGAAGGAAGAAAATGCTGGAGCGAATGTAACGTGAGCTTGCATTTCAGAATCAGAAAATGGGACCACTTATGCTCGGACTTGAGAAACTATTTCATCACCAATATATAAAAGTCATCAGTTGCAAGGAAAAAAGGAAGAGAAGGGGACAGAGGCCAACTCCGGCATATGTGGCGGCGGAAGGGACAAGGGATGGGAGACGTGGCAAGGGGAGGAAAGAGAAGGGAGCGGGGGGGTCACTGCGGTTCCTGACGGACACCTGCAGAGAGGTCGAGTCGCCTTCGCCCTCCCTCTGCCTCTCCGTGAACGTTTATGAGTCCTTTAAGGCAGTGAATGAAATTACGATGTTCTTAGACATCTCTGAAAATTCGTCTCCAGAGCAGAAAGGAGCCTGTGCTCACCGAGGTCCCTATTCTCTCTCGTTTTCTTTACCATGGGAACATGCAGCTCAGAGAGGCGAGGATGAGCTGGGTGTGACCCCGTGTTTCCTGGGTCCTCATCGACAGCCCTGTCTGTGACACCGAATCAGCTTGCCTTGGACATTTCTCTGGAAACGAGTACAAAGCTCGATGGCGCTATTCTGTAACCCCCAAGCTCTCCTGATCCTCCGAAATAAGCAGCCTGTATAATGAAGCGAGGAAGCATCTCCAGGGGTATTCCGGCTTGCTCCCTAGCTTGGGACCTGCAGGTACCTCCCTGCAGCCGGCCCTTGGAAGGTGGCTTCTCAGCGACAGCGTCGCCTGGAGGGAGGTGGCTCTGCCTGGGCGCACGGGCGGACGGGGAGCCTTGCCTTCCGATTTTCATTTCACCCCCGAGAGATGCTCAGGAGCCGGTAAACTTCGCTCATCCACAGACTAGTAAGCCGAGGTCCGGAGAGGCCAATAGCCCCGCGGGCAGGGCTGGGCGGGGAGGGGCCGGCACCACTGCCACCTCAGGGCCGGCTGAGCCGAGCCCCGGTCCCTCATTCTCCCCACCCCCCTCCTCGACCCCGTCCTGGAAGATGGAACCTCATTCTGCTGGCTGGGATGTTTTCCGGTGTTTTGGGTTACACCGAACGTGCAGGGTGACGCCGAAACGGATGTGTCAAGGACATTAGAAAGAACTGCTATGTGCTCCTCCCGTCCCAGCAGGGCAGGCGGGAAGGGACAGGCGTGCACGTGGCAGGGATGAGGCGGGCTGAGGCTCTTTCCGCGTCTGCTCCCCCCGCCCTGCAGCTTGCAGTGGCCCGCTTTGTGCACGCTCGTGCCGGGCACCTGGCAAGGCAGCGCCCGGCCTTGCCGAGAAGACCGTGAGGATGTGCTGCAGGACCGCAGAGGCTGGTGAGGGGCCGATGCCACCCACCTCCCCATTTCGCACTTGGCCACTCCGGCTGACCAGGCGGAAGACCCTGGCCTCAAGTTAAGTGGGCAGTTTTGGCAGGAGCCACCCCGGCATCCCTTGCATCGTGCCCAGCCATACTAAGGCGGGATCACCCAACTGCCCAGCTTTGCTCTCGGCTCCCGGAGGGGCCCCCGGGGAGCTCACAGTCAGTCTCACGCCGAGCCCTTGGGGCGCCCGTGTTTACGCCCTGGCTGCTGCAGCGGCACATGACTGTCCACGTCGCTTCTCTCTGCTCTGTGACTTAACAGGTTGACTTGTCCCCTCTGTGACTTAACAGGTTGTGTCCCCCAATATTGTGACACAGCATTTACCCTGTTTGGGCATGGGTAATTAGAGAAAACGCAGAGAGAGTTCACATCTGCTGAGAGGTCCTTCTGAGGTGGGCCTGATGCGGAGTGATTCGTCGTCAGTAGAGGGACTCAAGGTAAAGCCCATATCTAATTTCTACTAGCATCGGTGTCTCGGTGAAAGCAAGTCACGTCACACAAATATATGCCGAGATGGCCTCTTATTACTGCTGCTGGGAGATTAAGAACTTTTTCATGTTTTGAAGACATGCTGTCATGTATGTGTTACACTCCTAAGTTACAGGTGTGTGTTCAGTACATACACGCGTGTGTATGCAGTTCCCAAGCAGAATCCCGAAGGTCATATATAACGATTAAGCGTAGGCTGGAACAGTGACCTGTGGACTCTTCAGACGTGGGCTGAGTTTATCTGGCGTGCACCCCCTCGTCTGGCACAGTGCCCCCCACTTAGGAGACTCTCGGTAGGAGCTTTCTGAATGCGTGGATGAGTGATACACCTGTCCGTCTGGCAGTCACACACCTGCGGCTCAGCTGCACCCTCATTCAGTCCCGGCCGTCCCTTGTGTAGGCGCCATCACTGTTTACAGCTCCACGGCACAGAAGTCGGCAGACAGCGGCCGGGGCCTAAACCTGGCTGCCGCCTGTTTTTGTGAATAAAGTTTCACGGGAACACAGCCACGCTCACTGGCACGCGTGTCGCCCATGACCGCTTTCGTGCTGTGGTGGCCGAGCTGCGTCATTTTAACAGACTCAGAGCCTGAACTATGTACTGCCTGGCCCTCTGCAGAGACGGGGTGCTGACGCCCGCCCCGTCGGCCACGGACACAGAGGTCCCAGCAGACGCAGACCCTGCTGCCCTCACTCCTTGCCCTAGATCACGTGTGTGCAGTGTCCCTCGCCCACTCGGTGGCCGTCCCCTCTTTTAGTGACTGGAAGGACAATGCAGTCGAGCGAATGCTGTGTTTAATGTGGGGTCCACCCTGGGTCATGTTGTCTTGCCGCTGCCCCTCAGACCTTTACTGCCATGTCTCCGTCCTCAGAGCCACTGGTGGTGCTGTCCCCAAAGTCCCTGCTCTTGGCGGGGGAGCTGCCTCGTTTCCCTTTCTCTTGCCAAGCCTGGGCCTCCTGCCACAGAACAATGCCCTTTCTCATTGAGGCCGGACAGGGTCCCAGGGCGTGGGGGGAGGGAGGGGACTGAGGGTCACTAGACTGACAGCACTTCCTGTGAGCTGCCGGGCTTCTTGCGTTGGTTGGTTACTGGGGACTTTCGCACTTGTGCCTGGCTCGGTACAGCCACACACATCCCCCTCCCACCCCGAGCTTCGTGATCTCAGCTCTGCCTGTTCGTCACGTTTCAGGGCCCGGCGTGACCTGGGTTCTGCCACCCCTCCCTCCTCCTCCCACGCCCAAGCCTGCAGGTGCCACTCAGCAGCTGCTGGGAGAGGCCTGGCCAGTGAAAGAAGCTACTTCACTCTGGGCAGCAGCCCGTTCTGCCCTGTGCTCGATTAAAGCTTCTCATGGCTTCCAGGTCTCCGCCCCCAGGAGCAGAGTATGAGTAGGCCGTCACCGGCCAGCAGCCCACCAGCACACTGCATGTGTGGGTGCAGAGTCTGAGAAGTGTCTCTGCACCGAGCTGCCACGTCACCGTGAGTGTGCCCTGAGCGGTGCGGGCCTGCAGCCCGAGGGACCCACCTCGGCCCTGGAGCATTACGGCGATTACAGTCACTGGGTTTTAAGCTCAGTGCCCTGTTTGCCTGGTTCGCAGCCTTCAAGGACGACATTAGTGGCTTATTTTGGGAGCTTGTGTGACCATGAACTTGCTGAGAAGAGACAAGAATAATACTGGGAGCCGTGAACGAGGCAGGGTGTTTCTTGGCACGCACGCCTGCACTGCGTCAAACGAGTGATTTTAGTGAATTGCCTGAACGTTTTACAAGGGACTAAAAGGCACGACGTTGAATACTTTCTCACGCCTACCTACTTTCAGATTGCATTCTCCTGAAATAACTCATATTAGGATGCGTCCTGTATTTGGTGACCTCTGCGTTGGTTATTGTGAGGAGCTGTGTAGACGTCACCTTCAAGCTCTACCATCCCTATCTGATAGCAGATGAAGTTGAAGATCCCCGAGATTAAGTTGCCTAAGCTGAAAACGTTCTCTGCTGGGGCCTTTCAGAAAGCTCCATGAGCAAACGAGATTACCCAGAGTCTCACGAAGAATAACGTGGAGACTAGACACAGAAATTCCTACGCACCGAATTAAGACTGCTGCAGAGAGCGTGCCTGACAAACCAGCGGTGCCGTCTGCAAGATCCGATACCGAGGCTGCAGAAACGAAGTCCGAAGTGAAAAGTCCTGTTATACATTCAGTGTGCCTCAAGAAACGCACCTTAGCCCCCAGCCAAAAGTCAGGTTCAAAGACTTGCCTTCCCTCGCTCTGTCCTAACGCCGTGCACAAGAGCAAGGCCGTGGCCCCAGCAGACCTGGGCCAAGCCTGCCGTGTGATGTGGATCTGAGGCGGGAGTGGTCACTGGAGTCAAGATCACGGGCTCCACGGTGCACACAAGACGCCTGCCCTCCCTGGGCCTGCTCTTACTGCGGGCAAAACTACACAAAGCGGGCCCCTCTGTGCCACGTGCGGGGCGCCGGGCGAGGAGACAAAGTGATTGTGCCTGACTTCAGGAACTTCCCTGCTCTTATCATAAACTTTAGAATGTTTTCCAAGGACAATTCCATTGATATTTTGACTTGGTCATGGGATCCTTCATCCTGCTCCACTTTGACCATATCTACACAACGTGATCGATATAAAGTGAGCTTTCCTGTCTTCTACCATGACATGCAATGCAAACACTCATTTCTCAGCTCAGATAGAGTGCGTAAAACAAGTCCTGAGCATCCCTCCTTCTAAAGTGACAGCCGTGGAGCAGGCCCTTCAGGCCCAGCACCCCGGGGAGCAGCATGTTAAATGTTGAGGATTTTGTGAGCTCACCGAATGGGCCGGGGGCAGCAGTGACACCAAGAGAACCGGCCAGTGCTGCGTGCCTCAGCCCCGGAGCCGGCTGCCAGAGACGCGCCCGCACACCTGCGAGCCGCTCCCTGCGACCCCCGTGCACCCAGACGCCCGGGAAAGCGCTGAAGAAGGCGCTCGCCTCTTCTCTGCCCACCCCCGAGGCTTCTGTCTTCTATATTCTGACTCAGAAAAGAGTGGTAGAAATTAGAACTTTGGCCAGATTAATGACCCTGAGCATGGGGCAAAGGAGTCACCTTCAAGGTGGCCTTGGAGTTTGAAACCACTCGCTTCATTGCTATGTGAGCCCAGAGGGCTCAGGGAGGGAGCGGGGAGGAAAGGTTCCCAGGAGCTGGCGTCGGGGTTCGCCAGGCCACGGACCCGCCTTTCTGCCGTGAGCCCGGGCTGTGCCGGCCACGCGTGAACTAGAGATTGACTTGAAAGCACAGTCATCCTCTGTCCCGACCTGTGGGTGTCCGGCCTCTGCAGGCTTTCATTTGGGCCCCGGAGGCACGTGCGCGTGCACTTGGCTTTACAGCGGGGAATCTGATTTCCCCACTGGCGGTCGGTCTCGCGCTCCTTCTGTCGTGCTGTCCGGTTGAAGTCACTAGCAGCTACGTCCAGCGTCAGTGATCAGGCCGTCGAGGCTGCTGAGTCCCCATGGGGATGTGGTCGGCTGACTGATTGACAGACGGCTCGGGGCCACTGCATTGTGTTGCTGGGGGATGTGTACGAACTGAAGTCAATGATTCGGATGGGATGAGAATGGAGATGTGAGCCCAGGAGCGGACAAGGCCTTCTGAAAGCATATTCTGCGCCGTGCGGTGACTCGCCATCAACCTGCCGTGAGGCTACGACTGGCGAGCCGCTGCGCTTGCTTGCTACGCGCGACCGCAAACAGCAGGTGTGGGGTTGTTGACCACTGACTCCGTGCACGAATGGGGCGGGGAAGCCGGAAGCCAAGGGCGCAGCGTGCACCTGGCCCCTTACCTAGGCGCCAGGGCTGGAGCCTGCCCTGCTGCCTTGGGATGCAGAGGCAGCTGCCTCCCCGTTTGTGGTGTGCAAGCACCGTGTGCCTGGAGCACAGCAGCCCTTTGGGGACACTGTGCTTGGTGGCTTCGCTGCCCTGACTGCACTTCCTGGCTTCCCGCATGGTGGCTGCCAGCTCACTTCACCAGGGACCGTGCTAGTCGCGTAAGACCACAGGACGCCGCCGGAGATGCCACCTCCCGCACATGGGCTGGAGGGGACCCAGAGGGGTTCAAGGTGGAGCGGGAAGGAGAGGGACTGGCCATCTGGATGAGGGCACCGTTTCGGGAGCCTGGGACCAGTGCAGGGCTGGCTGCCTCGGGTCAGCGCGGCACACTGCCGAGCACGCGCGAGCCTCCCTCACGAAGGAGCTCACGACTCACGTCCTATCTTTTAAGCCATGTGTTTTGAAATTTGCTGTTTCACAGTTTCAAGTTCAAAAGACGGGAAACAAAGTTCAGCAGTCCGTGACAGTGCCGGACAGTTGGGCTGCCAGCTTGGCGCGTTCCCTCTGCAGCCCGCCTGGACGCACGGGCCAGTCCCTCTCCACCCACAAGCCGATGGGGCTCGTTGGAGGATGGGCGCTGCCTCTCTGAGCTCCAAGTGAAGAAGGAAAATCGTACTGTGTGCTGTCTAAAGTGTTTGCAGTCCCAAACCTGAATGCTATTCTGCTTATTTCATACAAATGAGTCAGCATTTACTACTTTTCAGAATGCCAATGAATTCTTTCTTTTCCATGATATGATTCCTAAGAGGCGAGGAGCTTCCTGTGCAGGTTAGATATTTTGGACTGGCAAATGTATCACACTTCATCAGGATCGTAAACCCTTAGTCCGCAGATACATATAACAAGGAAAGAGCCATCAGTTCATTCCAAGTATAATTTGGTTTGAATTGCGGGCCAGGCAGACGAGTGCTGACCAACAAGCAAATCTCTGAGGCGAGCATGCAGTGGAGTAGTGTAGCCTCACAAAGCACCTGTGGCCCCGTGGGGCTCGCCCTGTGCTCAGACTCTAGCCCGTTAATGAAATGCTGGCTTTAGCCTCATTGCGGAATTGGGTGTGTGTGTCGGGGGCGGGGGAGCTGCAGGTGGAACCTGGGGTGACGAGCACCTTAAGACACGCGTGAGTGTACTTACCCTTCCCGGTGAGCCTCCCCCTTCTCCAGCTCCTGGATGACGCCCAGAAGCACTTTGATGGTTTCTTGGCTCGAGCTGATCAAGTGCTCCATGACCTGCAGCTGAGCCTTCAGGCCCACCACCTCCGTGTGAGGCACGATTTGCTGGGATTCTTCACCCTCGGCGGCCGCCGGCGGGCAAGGCTGGTCCTCCCGCCCCCGTGGGGCTTGAGTCTGCGGGGGCTGGTCACTACATTCGGGGTACAGGCACTGCCCCGGGGGTTCCTGGAGCCCGTTGAGGTGGGCGGCCCTGCCGTGCTCCTCGTCGGCTGCGGGGCAGAGGGACCACTGGCTGGCGGCAGCAGAGTCCGACAAGGCAGGCTCAGTGGCCTTCGCGCTGGGGGCAGGGGCATAAACAGCGGCCACCTCCGTTTTAAACACCCTGCCGGGGGCTGTGGGAGCGGGCTCCTCGGCGTCGGGCGTCGCCCTGCCCTGTGCTGCCTTCCCGGGCAGCCGGTGACCGGGCCCGTGGAGGGGAGGCCGGGTGGAGCCGTGGAGGGGCGCGTCGGGGTCTCCGCACGGCTCCGCACAGTTGACCCCGGCGGGCGAGTCCAGCGCGTTCCTGTGCTCGTCGTGGTGGAAAACCAAGGCCGCCGTGGTCCGAGCCCGGCCCGCCGCCCAGGCGGGGGCCTCCTCCCGCTTCTCTTTGGAATCGATCCCAAAGCCATTGTCCTGGCTTGCGAAGGCGCCCCCGGCTGGGGTGCCCGCGAGAGCCCCTTTTTTGCGGTCCAGAGGGAAGGTCTGGTAACACTTTTTAAGATCTGGCGAGGTCTGCACGCCCGTGCTCTTGGTGACGTTGGGGATGGACCTCCGCGCGGGCACCGTCATGTATTTGCGATAGGCGGCCCTGCAGCACACGGGCCTGGCTCCCCGCTTCTCGCCCACCTGCCCCGCGGGGAGCCGTGGGGCCCCCTGCTCGTTCTGCGCCTCACAGATGTCCTTGAACCGCACCTGCAAGGCCTTGTTCCGCTTCTTGATCTGCCGGTTGGGGTCCAGGGCGTATTTCATCTCCAGGGCCAGGCAGGCGGCGGGCTCCACTTCGCTCTCGGACGCGGCGAGTACGCATTTGCCGGTGTCCTTACTGACCATGATTCCTGCACGTGGAGACAGCACAGGCGTCAGGCAGGAGAAAGGCACATGCAAACACGGGCAGCCCAAACTTCCAGCCCGGACGACTGCTCCCTGCCCCCCGATTACTTTTAAACAGGTGAGGTCAGCCTGTATGTTAAGGAAAATCAGCCAGGCAGAGAATTGCTGGCAGGCACAGCTCGAAATGCTTCTCAGATCTCAAAGCCTGCCTCCTCTTCCATGTGGGATCTACGCGTTTTCTTTTCATAGTAATGCATGTTTCCCCATTAGACAAACCTGTTTTACTATGTTCGTCAAGAAACCCAACGATGCTGCCTCTTTTTGCTTTGCAAATCATCATTTCACGCACACATCTCGGCTTCATGGGCAGATGGTTTTCCAAATGCGACTGATTTGGTTTGGGTTTTTACTATTTTTTGAGGATGACGTGATTAATCTATTATTGGAATCCCAGAGAATGGCTGTTTTCTCTTAAAGACTTATTGGGAGATTCTAGCTGCTGATCAGATAAGTGTGGAAGACCCTAAGTTGAAAAACTGAGAGAACCCCATCTGCGTTAGCCATTCCGGATGCCACGGGCCGGTGGGCGGTACCGCTTTACGGAACCCACAAAGGACAAACCTCTGAGATGTGGCTTGCTTCCCACGGGTTAACACCAGCCATGGAAAGAACACGGGTGTCCCTGTGCCCGCCAAGGCGATGTTAGCAACTCATTTCTTTGATTCTGTCGAGAGAGGTATTTGAAAGTACTTTTTTTTTTTTAAAGAAGTTATTCATTCTGAAATCAAGTTTTGTGTTTGGATCACAACCTCTGGAAATACAAACAATGGTGCTTGTTTCAGTATTTTAATCCTGAAAGAAAATAAAATCACGAGGCTTTATGTTAATCATGCAAATTCATCTTGGGCTGAATTATTAAATGCAACTAAAAAGATGCAGGTGGCCAGTGACTCCTCACGGGGACACCAGTAGGGTAAATGCCTTCACTCTATTAGGCAGATTCACAGCTGCTTATTGCACACGGAAGAACTTTCTTGAGGGTGAACTTAAAGCGAGAAATATAGTGAAGTAAGTGGTTGGCGAGTTAGTGAACGTTTCTCACGCCTTGTGTTCCCGAGGGAATCGGGGGTGGGGTGGGGAGGACCTGGTGTTGGGTGCAGGGCCCTGGCATGGTGCCCAGAGCAAGGTGCCCAGAGAGGCAAAGCCACCGACGTGGGCCAGCGAGAATGAGCACGTCAGACACGCAGGCAGGAGCAGGGTCTCAGTCTGCCTGCCCCCCAAGTCCACCTGTTCTCATCGCCCCCGATGTCCAAGCAGGACACGTGCCCACAGCCGTGGTTCTCACAGAGGACCACGGGAGTGGTTGCTTCAGTGGAGGGAGCGAGGGAGAAGCCCAGAGCCCCGTCGGGCGCAAGTGTGGTGAGCCGGCCTCCCTGCAGTAGGGGGCGCCATCCCACGGACCTCTGCGTCTCGGGCTGGCGTGGCGCCCGCACGTTGCAGGAAGACTATTGTGTCATGTTGTGTCATGACGGTGAGCTGGCCGTCGTGTTAGAGGACATCACAACGGTCTGTGCAGAATTCGTTTCAGACTAAACTAGTTTCTCAGCCCGGCCAGTCCTGGCATTTCAGGCTGGTGATCTTGCCTATGGGGGCTCTCTGGGCAGTGTGGGACACATAGCAGCACCCTGGCTTCTACCTGCTAGATGCACGTAGTCCCCTCAACCCTGTGTGACAGCTGGCAGTGTTCCCAGACACTGCCAAATGACGCTGGGGCACAGTGCCCCTGGATGAGCACCACTGCTTTAGACCTTGACCCTTTGACCCCTGGTGGCCAGAGTGTGACCCAGAAGATAAGGCCTGGGAGGAGCGACTGGATGAGCACCACTGCTTTAGACCTTGACCCTTTGACCCCTGGTGGCCAGAGTGTGACCCAGAAGATAAGGCCTGGGAGAGAGCGAGGCGAAAGGCCGGGCACAGGCAGCAGCACGCCCCTCCCGGGCGCAGTCTGGGAGTGCCCACCCCGAAGCTCCCGTCTGGAGAAGCCCCAGCTCTGTGCGGAGTCAGGGGCCCGCCGGGTCCACACCCCGCCCGGGCATCTGGATGTGCTCCTGTAAAAGAATTAATCCGAACTGATCACATCTGGGTTGTTCGCACGAGACAAAGGACAAGCCCTCTATGGTCTTGGCGCGTTACTAGCTGCGGAGGCTGTCTGGAGATCTTCGTCGTTTGAAACTCGAAAAACTGGGCAGTTTAGGGGAGCAGGGACAAGGAAAGCACAGACGGGAGCCGTCATCATCATTGATGTCCTGCCTCCATCGGGGGAGGGCTGACTCCGGGTCGTGGATGGGGCAGCCCAGGCCTGCCGAGGACAGATGATGTCTGTCTTTTAGAGACACTTATCCCCACAGGCTAACAGCGTGCACACCAGAGGACCTGGTCTTGCGGGGAGTACGGCATACAGCGGGGGCGTAATAAGGAAGTTAAATCTCAACCCTCACTCGTTTCTCGTATTCATTCTTTAACTGCCCTTGTGGCCCAGGTGTGTGAGAATGTTCTGCGCCGTCGTTCTGCAGAAGACCTTCATACTAGGGGAAATTTGAAAGGGAGAGCATTTTTACAAAAAGCAATTTACTAGTAATTTTTCAGCCTTTTCCCTGCCACTGCGGAAAAATGTGGGTCTGAATAAGTTTGTCCTACCATGCTATCCATCATCACGATGTGCCAGGAACTGCG